AGCGGTGGCCATCTGCATGGTCAGCAGTTCTCACTGCTCACTGGGAGCCAGGATGAATTCATAGAGCCTGACCCAGACAGTGGATTTTAAAACAGCTTTTATTTTTTTTCTTTTTTTTTTTTTTTTTTTAATATTAGCAGTGGCATACACAATGATTTTAGAAAGATGCTAACTAAATATTCCATTATTATTTAAACGTATATCAAGAGCGTACAATTTATACACCTTTACAGAAAAAAATCTGCAGTTTTTAAAGCTCGGAAGTGTTAAGAGCTGTTCACAGGTAAATCTTGGCTGAGGATCAGATCCTGGGCTGCAAAGGAGGGAGGGTCTTATTGTGCCCTCAGGGGAGAACCTCAGCTTGAAAATTAATTCAGTGCCAGAAAACCCTGCCTCAAGGCAAAGCCTTCGTTTATAATCTGTTCACTTAATACAAAAGTGTATTAATACAAGTATGGTGAGTGGATGAATCTAATTTGTCATGTTGCCTCTGGGCAGACCAGATCTAACTTTTAGCCTAATTTCATTCCTCGGCGGCTAAGTGAACCGTCTGATCTTGTACCCCGTGGTCATTACTAGCTGTTAGAGGTGAAAAGTTCACTGCTTCAACAGATTTTCTCTTACGAGTGTTTGCTTCGATTCTTCTTCTCTTGAAATTATGGTTTGGCTTAACTTGAGGTAAAAGGTCATTCTTAGGAAGCATAATTGCGTGCTTTATTAGATTTATTAGACCAGATTTATATCTAAGGCTTATTAAAAGGTCTACAGACTTCTACCAGTGCTATGTGTCTTTATATATCTCCATCCCTTGCCTCTTTGGGTTCGTACATCTTTAACACAGTAAGAGTCTCGGGCCATGCCTGAGATTCCTGGATACTCTAGGGAGGTTTACACTAGGCACAGGTGATCTCCTAGCATTAGTCTTCATTTCAAATATAATTCCCTCACAGTCGCCCTATCATTTTTTTCCCTTATTGAAGCCATTTTGCAGTTTCATTAAAAATCTCTACTCCTCCACTCATAACACAGAAATCTTTAAACTCTTGAGTAAACATGGTAATTTCTTGTTTCTATGCCTAAATTTTGGGTTTAAAAAAAAGGTGGCTGCCCTTTTCTTTAGCACTAATGTTCCTCTGAAAGGGGTACATATATGAAGACCGAGCCTTCTTGGGTTTCTGTAATTTAAGGATGAAAAGCCTTGCTGAACAATTATGGATCTTCTCCTCTCTGACCTCCCAGATGTCACTGCAGGTTCACCTGCCCAGTAATTAGCTCCAAGGGAGGGCAGTGCTATGATTGATAGCAATCGTAGGGAGCAAGCAGAGATGCTAGCAGCAGAGACGCTGAGAAACCAAGACAGGAATTCTAGTTCTGGAAGATGAACGTCACGAAACTGAATCAGAGAATAACTGACCAAAATACTTTTATAGCCACTTAATCTGTGTTAGAAAATGGATGCAGAGGGGGAGAAAGAGGGCATTTGCATGGTGGGTCTGAGACCAAACTGAAGTTATCATCACCTGAAAATTAAAATCAGTCTCAAAACGCAGACCAGGAGAAAACGCGGCACGGGGCAGCAGTGGGAGGGAGTGAAGCTGGAGCAGGTACGTGTCTGTGCAGTGGCTTCAGGACGGGCAGCAGTGCTTCAGCTCCTGCCACTGGGGTAGAGGCATGTAAATTGGAACAAGTTCACCTGAGAGTTGGTAGAAGAGCGAGGAGACCATAAAGCACATTTTTCCAGCAAGAAGCTGTAGACGTTAGGGATTTGTTCAGCCTCACAGAGCAAAGGCTGAAATGGATGTGATCATTCCCTACAAATACAGGAGGGAATAAAAACATGGGAGAGAGAACAGGCATTTGAGAAAAAGGACAACTTAAGTGTGAGGTCAAATGGGTACAAGCCCACCAAAGCATACCTTGGCTGCGAATGAGAGGAATAGGTTTGCTCATCGTCAGATGAGTGAGTTACTGAAACAGCTTCTCAATGTGACAGCCTCACTGTTCCTCAAGTGGAAGGTCTGATACGAGGTGGCTACCAGCAGTCACAGGAGACTAGACTTCCCCTCAAAGTCTCCTTAGGTCCCAGTTTCTGTTCGCCTTAACGGCAATGGGACCAGACTTTCTCTGCTCCCCAGAAACAGATAGAGGTGTTTTTTCCCTGTGACATGAAATCGTACAAGATTTGTTCTCAGAAACGAGTCCTTGTTTGCTTCAGAGAATGGATGCACTGTAGATGGGGAAAGGAATGAAAATCCGCTTAGAAAAAACTGCCACTGGTTCTAGTTAGCAACATGATCTTGAAAATCTTGAGGTTTGACAGGTTTCTATCATATGGAAATCAAAACCATTCCAATTGTCATTTTTCCACCAGTGGCCACGTGAAGCCCCACCGGGGCAAAATCAAAACACTGGAAATTGCACTCCCATCTGCAGTATTATCTCACACCCTGGGAAAAATCCCAGAACCCATGTACTGTATGAACAGATGGGAAACAAAGCAAAACAGCTGATGACTCCACATAATGAGTCTTAATAGCCAGAGGGGAAAAAAAAAAAAGAGATAACACAAATCCATTCAGAATATATCTGTTTATTAAGATTCAGCTCAGTGAAGTTTGAAATGGGCAAGGTAATAAGCATGCAAACCAGCATTAATACAGTAATAGTGAAATCAGTTCAATCTGCCAGCTTGGCCACATCTGTTTGACAATCCTGGGAGCAGCAATGGCAACAGCCACTTCCCCATCTCTTCCCAATGCTCTGCATCCATGCAGAGAGCCTGCCACTTACCAGCTGTGGGATTTGAGAGCAATGCCAACCGTGTGGAAATTAGGAGTACAGGGGAGAAAATCACCTCCCCTTCAGCTGTGGCCAAACCCTCTGCAAGCCCTGCCGGTCAGAAAGGGGCCTGGGGTTGCTTCAGTCAACAGGGAGCCAAGACAAAAGCAAAGCGCTGGCCTGAGGCACTGGTGCTGGTTCTGGTGGATGAGCTGGTGTTTTTGGGAACAGCTGGAGGTTTTATCTGGGTGTGCAGTGTAATGAGTAGTTATGGTGGATGGCTAAGCCTGGCAGCTAAAGAGTCAGAGACCGCTTTAGCATGTCACTGTGCCAACGGGGCACAGCCTTTCGGCAGCCACGGCAGGAGCATGCCTGTAGCTGTTTGGGTACCTAACTGCAGGGAGTGAACATCCCCAGGTGGAGCGATGGATTTACTGCCTGGGGAAGATGGGAAGGAGCTCAGTTCTTTGAAGAGTTTACTTTTTCCCCAGTCACCCTGCTCTTACACTTGGGTCCAGCAGCAGCAAGTAACCTGCAGTAGCACATTGCCTCCCTCTGACTCATTTTGCTTTACAAGATCTGCCCTTCTGCAGCTGCAGCGGGGTCACTTCTTGATGTCTGAACTTGATTTTCAGTCCGAGTTGACAAAGGCTGTTCTTTGCCTTTGCTTGCTCCCTGCGCAGTTACCAAGCACAGCCTGGGACCTGACTGTTCCTCCTCTGCCCTCCCAGGCATCAGAAGAGTGCTCACCCTTAGCATGCTGCCAGAGCAAACAAGTCTGAAAAGCCAGTGCGATTTAAAATTGCCCTGCAGAGAAAGGGGATTTTAACTAACAGCTACATACATATTCTGACCAGACAACCTGTTTAATCAAGTTTATTTCATCAAAGTTCAATTAAGGATAACTTTAATCAAATTTGGGGTTAAAAATTATTCTTAGGACAACATGGATTGCAAGAACATTACCATCATCAAGTCAAGCTCATTAGAGACTTAGGAAATTCAGAGTTAGGGTAAAACTTTTAGAGTAGAGGCAAGTATGTTAA